GTACATCCCATAGTACCGATCCGTCGAAGAACACGAGTACTCATTTTCCTAGCTACCGGGCTCGATAATCGAGCCGAGTATGATTCCCATATTCGGTATAATGCATGGCATACAGGAAAACACTGCGACGGCTCTTAAAATCGATATGAAATTTTCAGACCGTGTAATACGAAGCGATACATCTCGCCTATTGGCATCGTCTACATAGTCCTATTAAAAGCGCCGATTATACAACCTCGCTGCGCTAATCGATTCCGCAAACCGTAAACAACTATCCGTCGAACCCGTGCGAAGACTCGCGAGTAAAAATGATCGATCTTACTATCCGGAGATACGCCTTCCTCTTACCATCGAACAGTACGCGCGATCGCACGCGCCGCGCCTGAAGACAACTTTCCGCTGTACACGCTGTACACTTTCTCGATCCCACGCGAATTTCTATAGCGATGTGCGATAAGTTGGCGAACATTTGGATTCGCCTGACCACGGAGAGAAGCGTTGCGTCTATGGAGCGTGTTGCCAGAGATAACTTTGCCGAGTACTCGACTACGTGCAACTCGGTAATTGCAGTTAACGCGATTCCGGGGCTAGCCGTCTTAGGCTTAACTCGGTGAACGGCGAGGAACACGACACGAGCTAATCCCTTGGCAAAGAAGACAAACCGTAAGAAAAGGCGAGCAGATCCGCCACCTAGCGCACTCGAGGGCCGCGCGAGATCAACAAGTTTGCGAAGGAAGAGCGAGGAACAACGGCGCTTCGCGGCGCGCGGCACTCGCGCGGCTCGAGCGGCGTTGGAGAGTCGGAGGAAAAGGAAAAAGACGGGACCGTTGTCGAGGATGGTCTGGTTAGCTGAAACGAGAGTTTCATGAATGGACATTCATTCGAAAAAAGCCTCTTCAGCGTTGCGTACTTTGAGGTACAGCCGTGCGCCTCTCGTGGACGATTGCGAGGCTGTGAAAAGAGGAGAGCGAGAAGGCCAGCGCGTTGCAGCGCGGCCAGGCAACGCGGACTTGGCCCGAAATCGATCGCGGCCTCGCTCGGTCTAATTCGGTCGGGATCGGTGATTCGAAAATGTTCGATTCCGCGAATGACGCGGTAAACGCGCGGTTTTCCTCGAGCACGCTCAGCCCTTTTCCTCGCGCGAACCGATCCCGCGGGAAAAATAATACGAACACGCCTCGCGACGAATCTCCAGCGACTCGCCGATTTGCATAGCGCTCGAGGAAGGATCGATGCGCGAGCAGACGATAATTGCTCGCGATGATCGAGCAGACGGGTGCTAATATTTGGCGAAACCACGGGACCATTCGTTCCCGGTATTACGCCGGCTATTCTCCGGGAATTATTGTCACGGTACTTAACATGCGCCTGTATATCACCATCGGGCTATCAAGATAGAGTAAACCTCGCCGCCCGTAAGTCACGGAGTTCCTCGGGGAGCTGCACGCCAACTAGCTACGATAAGGGATAGCTTCAACGTCGGTTGTTTTCGTCGAGGGAAAAGAAGCCGGAGAAATTTCGTTGCAGCCGAGATGTAACATTAGCCGGTATCGAGAGCCGAGATTGGGTACGATGTCACGGATCAGTCTGGTTCGCTTGTAAAGGAAAATTTGATAAACAACGAGAATAAAAGGACGGAATAGAGCCGAGATTTCCCGGTCCCAGAATACCTTTCGCGCTCGTGTTTTCCTAGGAAGAAACGGCTCCGTGTCAGACACCGTTGCTATATCATAACTTGTCCGGAGAATCCCATTTTCGAAAATCCCCTCTGCGAGAGGAGAAGACTGGCTGCTCCTCGCTGCGAATGGAACGTTGGCTCTCGTCGAGATGAGAGATCGAACGCGAGTCCTCCGTGACACGGATGGAAATTAATCGCCGAGGAGACGAAACTACGCGGTGGCAGTCTCGAGGACGGAATTCGAACGCGGTCCGTCTCGAGAACTAATTATGATAAGGAGCAATAGCGATGTCAGGGTCCTTTATCCCGGACGAAACTTCGACAAAGTCCGTAGACTTAATTATCAGGCGAAGTTGGCGGTTGCGGGCTTGCGGGGCGAGGCAGGAAGAAGGGAAAAGAAGAAAAGAGGAGGAAAAAAGAAGAAAGGAGCGCTGTAAGTCGCTTTGACATTGGGAACAATGGAGCCAAGGTTTCGTCTCATCCATTGGGGAACCAAAACAGCTTGGAGGTTCTCGAGTTCCCGTTCAGCCAACTTGGCCGAAACTCGGCAACGACCGGCTAGAAAAGACTGCCCCACGAAGTATATCCCAAGGGAATCCAATCAGAGCGAGGAGGAGCTCGAAGCATCTAACCTCCGCCGACCTACTCGAGTACAAATCTCGAGCACCTCTCGACCAGCTCGACGAATGGTCGGAATAAGATTTACAGCGTCTCCGGGAAGAATCCTGCTCCTATTCAGAGGGGGAACCGTCAAAGCGTAATCGAGAAATTTTGATTACACCGGCTGATCGATTTGGCAGCCGGAATTGTATCCGGTGGCGAACGCTCCGTCCGATCCGGGAATGTTCACCACGTGACTGGAATACCTGTCGCGTTGGTCGGGTCGAAAATATCTTGGCCGATGAAGAAAACGCGCGAGGATTGCAGCGAATGGCCAGAGACTGGCGAGAGAAGGCTGTTCGCGTGGCGTAATTTCGCTCGGTTCCTAACGCGAGTCAGCATCGCTGATCCATATTTCCGGATCGTGTTCGCCCGTGCGACGTATCCGCCCGCACGCTTGCATCCGCGCGGAACTCTCGCTCCGCCAGCATCGATTCCATCGAGTTCCATCTCGAAAAGGCCGTCGCACGGAGACAGCGAGAGATCGAAGTAACGCCGGAAAAGAAGCAGAAAGATCAATACCCATGTCCCATTTACTGACCCTAACTCCCAGAGACAACCCCATAAAGGCGGCGGGTCCTTCTCCATCCGGTGCTCGGAGATAGAAAATAGGAAGCGAGGAAAATCGAAACGAGACACGCTGGGTAGACCCGTGTTACCCAAGATCCGTGTATATTATGGATTTACGTTACTAGGTGGTACGCGACGCAACATCGTGGTCGCGCGATTGCAATCACGCAGCATAACCTTCGAAAACATTAACATGCACGAAGCCTATGAACGGCACACGCGTCCACCGATCTCGTATTACACCTCGCTGCAACGAAATTTCCCCAAACATCCTGCCGTAATTGAAACAGCCGCGTGTCGAAATTCCCCCCCCCCCCCCCCCATCATTTCCAACGTTTTACCAGGCTTTGATAGGCTCTGATAGGCCGCGTGACCGACGAAACTATGTAGCGCGTGATTCTCTTCACTGATCGAGAACGGGAACGCTCGATGCCGAATGCGCACCGTCGATTTTTCGCTAAACGTTCGTTGGTCGGGAAATTCCTGTTGTTTCGGAAAATTATAATTCGAATTTAAATATTTGAATACGGGAAGCCGATAAAATTTCCGTAAAACACTCGCCGGGTATCAATTCCAGCGTATTTTAATCAAATTCGACGGGGGAAATTTGTTATCTTCCATGTCGGCACACAGACAAAGAAGCAATATAAATTCCACGATGACGCAGGTGGTCCGACAAAAAGCGAGCATTTCGGCATTTTTAAACATATGCATGGCAAAACCTTCGTTGCCGGAGTGATATTCGCGGCTCGTAAATATCCGCGCTTCGACAGCCCGACGTTTCGCGCTGTCTAATAATTCATCGATAACCACGCGTGGCAAGATTTCCGCGCGAACCGGCCGATCCTGGCCGCGTAGCGTCGCCAGCCATTCCTCGAGATCGCGAAACGCGGAAATCCCCTGGCTGTGCAAAGCTGGGGAGATCTCGGCAGCAGCTAAATCAAGGAGACTCATGGCTTGGCAAACGGTGCGGAGAGGATGAAGAACGCGGCGCTGACTCGCGTTTGATCACCTGTAATGGCACTGGGGGCCGTAGGTAGCGAGCGATATTTACGAATACCGCGTGACAAACGAAGACGATTATCTCGGACAGCTCGAACGTGCGAGACAGCGCGAACACCTGTCAGCCGGGTGCGGAACGGGCGAGTTTGCCGGTGGAGAATGCGACGGGAAAAATGAAGACAACTGCGGAAACGCGGACAGTGAATCAGCGCGTTCCGGCATAGTGACAGCATCGATTCTTTACGCGGCAAAGAGAGGAAAACACGACGGGAACAATGGGATCGAGGCAAAGCCGCGGAGGTAGTAGGCGCTGGGCCACGCAGGGAAGAAACTAATCCGGCAAAGTTGATCAATCGCTGGCACGATATCGCGACATGTTCGATAGAAGAGAGCGTGCGTGTGTGTGCGTGCGAGAGAGAGAAAGAGAGAGAGAAAGAAAGAGAATTTTCGTCATTTCGGAGATCGGCGAAAGGGTCGAAAGAGCGACGACGGTGGTCCGACGGTGGTCTCGACAATCCAGCATCTCTTGGCGACTCGTGCGCGACCCCGAAGAGAGCGTATCGAATCGAGGATCTTCGCAGATTTTCGGGGAGCTTCGTTCGCCCACGGATTCTCCCGGGCAGCCGGCACGGCTCAGTATACTGCGTGGCAGCCTGGACCGCAGGCGCCTCCAGTCGAGGGCACACGTAGTTCGCGGTTGCGTGCCTGTGCCGACGCACACCAGTGTGCTGCTCGGTGGAAAGCGCTTGTACGTGCTTTTTGGGACGTACTCACTTTCCCAGCGTGCACGAATTTCTCGCTCCACCGACGGGGACGTCGTTTAATCGGCCATCCGATTAATCGCCGCGCGTTAATCGTCGATCGGCAGAGTCACGATTGGCATCCACCGGGGATAGGGGACTAGGGGACGGCAAACAAACGGAGTTGGCGAGAGAGCGATTCGAGCTTGGTATCACCTGCGACCCAGCAGCAGCTGATTAGCAGAGAGCCCCGCGGATCCAGCCGTGCGTCCGAGGAAGATGGACCACCACGGACGCGAGAGTTGGTGGGAAATACGAGGTTCCAGGTACCCATGCGTTGAAAGCGTTGGGAGAAATTGATCGCAACTGGTCGGGAATCGATCTACGCCGATAGTCGTGGAGATCATGGGTGCTCGTTTCCGAAGCAAGTCGACTGGACGCGTTTCGCGAGCCGTCTGAGCATCGTGTCTAACGTTTGCACGCGGGTGCTGCTACTGCTGCTGCTGCTGCTGTTGCTACTGGCTGCGATTTGTGGTGCACCGACCAGACGCGTACGTGTGTGCCGTGTACACAGAAGATGTACGACAACGCATAGACCGTTACCGTGATCCGCTGTCCCGCGCGGTTCTTCGCTGTCGGCTGCTTCCGAGCGGCCTGGTACACGGGGTGTTTGTGGCGAAAAGAGTTAAGGGACAGAGGCAGACAGAGAGACAGACAGTGAGGAACAGGAGCAGAGGGAAGACACGGCGCGTTCGGGGCGAGGGAACGGAAGAAGAGAGAAAGAGGGAGCCTGGAGAGAGTAATGATCGTGACGACGGTCGTGCGGACAAATGAACACCTCGGCACAGCGTTTGGGATATTCCAAGTGAGTACCAACAGGCCAACCGATCTCGCAGCTTTCGCACGCGTCTCGTTTAGGGTTATCCGATAGTTCTCTCTCGGTTCTACTCCTCGCCACGTTCGCGCGCCACGCAGCTTCTCTGTCGGAATCGAATGGTAGAGAACGTCGCGTGCCACTGTCCCGAAATTTCCACGGGCTAATCGCGCGACAGAGGAAGGGACGATGATCCGATAGCTCCCGTTCCATCTTCCCGAGTCAATTTCATTTGCGGAGTCGATTCGCTAAGCGAAAGGAATCCTTCGAACCGAAAATTGAGATGAAACCCATTTGCCAAACTGGTTCCACGAATCCTCGGGGGAAATTCGATGAATTTTCTGGCTCACCCCTCGCTATCGTCGCGCTGCTACTTCGCAATTTTCGTTCCACGCGATTCGCAACCTCCTTGGCTCCTCTCTCGATGCGCGACAAGGAATCATTCGAGCGTGTACATTCCCTTGGCTACCGCGTTTGGCGCGAAATCCAACGTGCGGTTGGCACTGGACCGACCAATGGCGCGCGCCCTCCGGTAGGGGTTAGACGTTCGTGCTTAACGAGAATTTCTTCGTGAAACTTGCCGGCAAAATCCCTTTTCGTTCCCGACCAACTTTGCCGCGTTTAAACGCACAGGGACGCGACGTCGAGTTGGTCTTGCCAACCGAACGATGCAACGACGCGTCGTTCCGTCGAATAGTCGCGCAGGATGGCCCGCGATAACTGACTATTCCGATGAACCCTTCCTCCGTTCTCTTTTCATTTCGCGCGATCCTAACTCCAAGCGAAGAACGTCGTTCGACGTCGTTCCAACTTTTTCCTTCCTCCAGGGAAACTTTCGCCGAACAAGGAAAAGGACAAAAAAAAAAAAAGAAAAAGGAGTGAGAAAAAAGTAAGGAGGGAAAAAAGGGAAAGAAGAAACAAGCTCGATGGGTGTATCGAGATAACCGAACCCATTCGGGTCTTATCAGTGCGGCGGGAAAACTTCCGGAAAAATAGGAATTGAATATCCGAGCGAGGGAGATAGGAGAAGCGTGTACAACCGAGATAAAGATATATCGGAGAATAAGAGTAAATCCAGAAGCCGACTCGGGGGTCTCCTCTTACACCTGTACCCGAGGACGGGAAGTTTCCTCGATAACCCGGCGGATCCTAGCCGAAGAAGCTATTCGTCTCCCTTTCAATCCAACGACGGAAACGCATTAATATCGCGCCTCGACAGCGTCCCCCTAACGGCGTTACATTATTTACGCGATAAAAACGAAACGGTAGACCGGTCAGTGTCGGGAAACCGGTTAAATGGTATCGTTGTCCCTAACCCGGGCCTGAGAAGACCAACCGTTCGGTATCGCGAACTCGCGGTTTCCGGCTTTGTTCTTCCGACGAAATTTCATTTCCCTTTGCTCCCCGTCCACCAGCCCGATGCGTGACATTACCATTTATATGGACGGGGCGAGGGACGGGGTGTGCTCCTGGACGCCGACGTCGAAATCCAGACGGGAGATCCGATACGAAATGGAGAGAAGTGTCGCGAGCAGAAGTACGGGAGCAAAAAGGTCGGAAGACGGCGGAAGTAGGTTTGGAATGGTGCGGTAAGGGAGAGAGCGAGGGCTAGAAAGGGAGGCGACTAGGGATGCGACTGGCTTTTTATCATCGTTCTAAAGTGCACATTTCTGTAAGACGAATCGCGAGTCGAAGGGATGAAAACCGGCCGTGTCCCCTGCTCGCTCGTCTGCGGGAGGGGAAAGGAAACTGGGAGCAAGGTTGTCGTTCGGATCGGCCAGAGCATATTTCCTGGAGAGGCTGTTCTTCTTCTTCTTCTTCTTCTTCTTCTTGTTCTAGTTCTTGTTCTTCATCTTGGTCTTGGTCGTGGACGCGTCGCGAGACAAATTTTTCGATCACCCTCGTCCGCACTGACATACGCGCCGCGAAGTCGTAGACGCTCGAGCAAACTGGCATTAGCATTTAAATGGCGAAGGAAGAAGGACTGGAGCCTGAACTACTCGCGGCTACGTGTCGCGGATTTTACGCGAGCTCGTACGTGCAAACGAAATCCAGAGGCGGAGAGGAGGAGAGGCGGGCTAAGTGGAGGACGTGGGAAAAGATAGAGGTCGCAAAGTAACCTTTACGACGTTTTAAGAGGCGTTCATAACGAGCGCGGTTACAGTATCCAGTTACAATAGCGGCGGGCGTTGCGTCCCGTATTAGCATTTACACGGAGTTAATTGGCTTTATCGTGCCCCATGGCGCGAGGATAAAAAAGAAGGTAGAAAGACCGAAAGGAAGGTCCCACCGGGTCCACGTAATTTTCCTTCGACGTTCCCTTTTGGCCGAGCGATATCGTCATTTTCGGGACGACTTACCGACCGGCCGTAGTTCCGATGAAGCTCGAAGGAGGTTAAAATGAAATCTAGATCCAGCTAAGAAGGAAAGCCGCAGAGGGGGAGAGAGAACGCGGTGTCGAGTGGCGGCGAGAGAGCGTGGAGGGTAGCGATGGGATCGAGTTCGGTACTTGCGAGTATTGACTCGCGCCGTGTTTCAATGGCTCTTTATCAGAGTTCGGGAATACCCTCGAAACCTTACACTTTATCCGGGTATAATTCGAAGCTTCAACGACGAGTAGGAAGTAGAGATCTCTGAATTTCACCGACCAACGACACCGTCCAGGAGTCTCGCCGTTAAAGTTAGTACGACTCCGTGAAAAGGGAGAGAACGATTGGAACGCATCGGAGCAAGTTTCGCGACACGGTTGATTCCATCGCTGACGTGAAAAAGCGTGGGAGGAGGTCAGAAACGGTAGCAGCGAGAATGAGAAAGAGAGAGGGATAGAGGAAGAGTATCAGGTGGGAAACAATGGATAAGGTAGAAAGGAAAGCCAAGGGTTGGGGGTGGCAGGCCGCGGCAGGAAGAGGGGTTGGGAGATGTAACTGCTCTTATTTCTTCTCGCTGCCGCCGTGGCCCAGGCCGGAAACAAAAGGCGATCCGACATCAAACATTCAAATTAGAAAACTCCCCCGCCGGTCCGTTCGTGGGCCGGATTACCCCCCTTCAGTTCCCCCTAAAGCATCAAGCAACCCTCTCTCTGTTCCCGCAGACCCGTCGCGCCGCGTTAAACCTTCACATCCTACTTTCCGCGAAGCCACACACGATTCCAGCGGTTGCTACAGTTGCCTGAGCCGCGTTTAAGCCTCCCAGCCTACTTTCGTAAACCCGCCTACGATTTCGGCGAGGCTCGTAGATCGTCCTCGTGCACATCGGTGGCCTATGTGCGCGTGTTTGCGCTATCTGCTGCACGCGCGCGCGCGCCAGCACGCACACCGCCACCTCCGCGAGCCTATACATATTTGCTCGCGGTCAGAGGCGAGCCTCGCGGCTGCCGCGTTAAAACAAGAGGAACACGCGAGTACGTGCCACGCGATCAAACAGGGCCACGGTATCAGCGGACGGTTCTTTTTCGGATTAAAACCACCAACGAAGACCATGCGACCTTGGCTATTATTAAAATTGCCCGCCCGTGTGCTCTATTTCTGGACACCTTTGCGCTCTCGGTTTACGGATTCCACGATACGGGGATGAGGCTAGTTCTCCGAAGGGAGTACTTACGACGCCGGGTTAGAGAGAGATCTAGGGAGAATCGCGGTAATTTCCAGCGGATACATCGAGGGTTATATCCGTGTTAACCGCGAGTACGATTTCGTGGAAGTTGCGCGGTGTTTGGAGGAGCAGGCAATCCTGGCTACCGGCGGAGATAGTAAAACATTCATAAGAAGCTTATAAGCGCGTAAAAAGTTTCATTACTTTTCCCGAGCACCGTAGGAACGCGCCCTGCGGAGGATCCTGGAACATAACTCACGTTTGCGGCTTTAGCCGCGAAGTTTTGTTTCGCTGAATGCAACCTGCCGCTGCGGAGCTTCCAAGTGTATCTCCGTGGCAAATCCGTCCGGCATTTCTCATCATCGAAATGTGCATATATACGTATACGCAATGTGCGTATAAATATATATATATATACATGTATATATCTCGTAAATCAAGCGGAAAATTTCGCAATTGCTTTCACCGGAATTATGCGCTTTAAAAGGCACAGTCGATCGTAATCTCGAGAAACGAATCGTCGCCCGGTATCTCTGGTTAAGTTAGGCCGGTGAAGTTACGCCGGTTCCATTACGGGATACGATAAAAAATGAGCCTCGTTCCGAAGGAGAGAGTAGGGAAGAATTCAGCCGTTTCGTGGATTACCGGGATTGAAAAATCGCGAAAGTTTCGCGCGAAGGAATGTATCGCAAACAGCGGAAGCGTGCTTGGAAATTTGGCGACACTCGCGCCGTTCACGCTGTACATCGTTTCTCGTATGAGAAATAAATCCGCGTTCCAGATGCTTCTGCACACGGACAAGCTATCCGGGGGGGTGAAAGTTTTCGCGTTCTCAGCGGAAAGAAGAACCTTTCCCGAGGAACCATCCTACTTTCCTCTCGAGAGGCCTACGTCGGCGAAGATGTATCCGTGACAGGTTCGAAGCTTCCACGTGGCAGGCCGTGGAGCATATTTTATTTAACCTTTACCGCTGTAACCCATGAATTTCCCGTCTCTCTAATGGCACGTGAAATTTTTGATCGGCCGTCTGGCGTTCCGGTGGCTCGTAAAATTTCCCTATCCAAACTGCAAATGCTTTTTCGAGACGAGCCAAGCCGGGCTAAAAACGCGATATTTTCGCATCGGAGATTGTTCTTGCGTCCGCTATAGTTGGCGGAGGTAAATTTACTCAGGCAACATCGTTAATAACGATTCGATGGTAAGAAAAATAATGGAAATTGCGAGCGAGCGCGGCGAAAGTGCGCGGCCGCCTGCCGGCTGACCATACGCGGTGTCATTCTACTTTCAGGGGAACGCGTCGAGCGAACTCGAAATAATTTACAGCGGAACGAGAACCGCCGTGGATCCAACGTCCTATAAAAACCACCTCCCGTTCAAACGGTTTTTACGGTTTCGCTTTT